AGTACTGCGTCTTTAACCCCTTGCGCCACCAGGGAGACTCCCAGCACTGTCCTTTCTTAATTGGCTTTCGATGGGGCTGGTGTCAAAGAGTAGCCGTCGGTAGTACTGATAAAACAGAAGCAACAGTGAACAATGACAATATAGAATCTTGGTCATCTTGCACTTGGTGGCTGAGAACACTACTTGGGCTCAGCACTGGTGTGAGTGTCATAACTGGATTTTATGTTCTGGCTCCTTTTTCAGTGTCTGGCAAGTAGTCTTGATAAAAACCCCACTGTGTTATATCCATTGTAGCCTCATTGCCCTGGTCATTCCTTTAGCCAGTAACAGATGTCAGTTGAACACCTACCAGGTGCTCCTTTTACAGGATACATTTTAGGAAACCTTTTATAATGGGACCCTCTTTGCTGTCCATTTCTAGAACAATGTTTACCATGGAGTTCTCTGGAACTATTAGGGTGAAAACAATCTCACTAATGAATGAATCAGTTAATTCATTAAATAGATATTTATTTTGAGCACTAATGAAGTGTCAGGCACCGTGCGAGGCATTGGCATAGGGGATTTGATGCTGAACTTGATCCTCTTCTTCATAGAATTTGCCTTTGAGGGAGATACAGAGATATAAATAATCACGGTATTGGAGGGTAGAATGCGAACTGCTCTGACTGCAAGTATGGGGTGCATGGAGACTGCAGGTGGCTTATCTAACCCAGACATAGGGGGAGACTTTTTGGAGAAGGTGATATCTAATCTGAGACTTGATGAGGAGCGAGACTTAAGGTCAAAGGAATGAGGAGAGGGAGGCATAGGGAGGTCTGCGACTGGGAGTCTGTTGCAGCAGGTTACAGGGGTGTGTGCCCAAGTCCAGGGTGGGAGACAGAGGGAGGATATGTGGGGGTGGGGTGGGGAGGGGATGGGGTTTAGCCTGGCTGTACTGTGGAGTGTGAGGTGGGAGCCAAGAAACCAGGCTGGGACTCTATAGAGAGCCTGATCATGCTGACAGCCTGATCCAGGTGTTTGAAATTCTTTCTAATGCCAATAGATATGCTTTCTAGAAAGATTTGTATGGTTGGGATGCGAAGAATGGATGGGTGAGAGGAACTTGAAGATGTGCCTCTGAGGAGGCTGCCATCATCTGGTGGGGAGATAACAATATCCCAGTTGTAGGAATGCAGAAAAGTAACTGGTGTTGAAAATACTTAGAAGGTAGATTCTCCATTGGATTTGTGACTGATTGGAGGTGGGGTTTTGGGCCAGGGAGGAAGGGAGCTGGTAAGAAGAGGCTGCTCTTCCTTCAAATGGAAAATGCAATTATCTATGAGGTAGGCACTCTTTTCAGTGGAATAAAAAAAAAATCTAAATCAATGGTTTGATCTGAGAAAAGTGAATATACCCCAATTTTGATTTTTCTGTTTTCCAATTTCTTTTTTAAATTTTTTTATTTTTTTGTATAGAAGAACCGGGGTGTAGGTTAGAGGTGTGGAGGGTGAGAGGATTCACCTGAAACAGAGTGGAGTGCAGAACAGGCAGACTGAATGAAATACACTGCTGAGGGTGTTACAGGGCAGGGAGAGGGGCAGCCCAAACCCAACAAACTTGCCTATTCTATATAGGGTTCTGCCTTCCACCTCATTAACACAAAACATGAGACTTTAATGGGAAGGAACTTTAATGCAATTAGGAAACAACACAGGTAAGGCAAAGAATCTAGTTTCTAAATCAAGCACCCAAAGTGACCCGTCCCCTCGTGAGTAAAAGTCCATCCAAATGGGATTGGCCCAGAGCAAGGCCCCAAAGCCTGCCACAGTCTAAAGCATCTTCCAGTGGGGACCCACAGAAAAGGGTCAGAAACAACCAGACAAGCCCAGAAGGAAAAGAATAAAATCAAAATCAAGATTAAAAACTGCCATTGTCCCCTCCCCACGGGTCTCACCCACATCTGTGTCACCCAGTCCACGACCAAAAGACAATTGCAGTTTCTTCACGTGTCTCTAGGCTCCATGTGCCTCTTCCAGGTCTCCTTCTGGCTCCATCCTGCATCCTTCCTCAGTCTCCTCTGCAGTTTCTTCTCTCCCTGCTCAGCTCCACCCTCCCTTGGGTGGGGCAGGAAACCTGGAACCTCCCCCTTTCCTGGGGACCCCCCTGTTACAAGGGCAGAGCCGGTGACACAGGAGAGGTCTGCTGCATCATGTGGGCAGCTCCCTGGCTGCGGATTGAACTCAGGCCTTAGTGGTATAGTGCTGAGACTTAATCCCTAGGCCACCAGGGAGGCCCCTGCTTTCCAATATCAAGACCAGTCCATCTGCCTCTAGTCTGAGAAGAATGGGATCCCATATATATATATATATTTTTCATTTTTAGAGAACTAGAGAGATGTCAGCTTCCTTGTAGAAGGTATTTTTTGCAACCGTTGAATAAAAGCCCTTCCTTTTTCACCTTGAGTTGAAAATAAATGGCAGAAATAAATGGTGTGGTGATTGTCATTCTTATGTCCTGGTCACCAACCTTCATATTTTTTGTTTGTCAAGTTGAGCCAAATAATCTCCCATGCACCCCAGTTGCCAACTGCTAGCCTCTTAGCTTCTAATCTCTTGGATGTTCAGGTTTTTTTAATTAAAAATAATCTCTTCTAGAAACATCCTTTTGATTTATTGCTGAATTAATAACTTTTTCTCCTGAACATATCATCCAGGTCACAATTGGGAAAAAAGTAGTCTGTAATGCTGCAGATTTTGTCCTTTCTATCTTAATGTGTTTAAAATATAAAATATCAAAATTGCACTGTGTTAAAAGTATGTATAGCTGGAATTTTAATTTGATTATCTTCCCCAATTTTCCCAGGCTTTCATAGGCAAGTACTTTGTTTGCACAGCTGTCCTCTAAATCTCACTAACAAATGAATCAGGAATGATTTGTGTAGCAAGTCAGATGAAAGGAACTTCCTAAGAAAGACAGGTCATTAAAAGAATGAAGAAAGAAGAATTAGCAAAAATTTGAGAAATTTAGCAACTTTTAAAAAGAGTAAAACAGTTTGCTCCAACAATTGTTTTCTTGTAAACTTAAAATACCCTTTCATTAATAAAGACATTTCTGCATTAGTAGAGGCAGCTCCTAATTTCTTCTGAGATTTTGATACTGGATGGAAAAAAGGATTTACAATGAAAGTCAGCAGGAAAGGAAAAAGTGCAAAAACTGAGAAGCATAAAAAATAGGAATAGAGCAGTCAATTTTCTATTATATATACTTTTCTATCATCTACATGGGAATTATCCATATGCTAGGGTGGGGTGGGGGCTGGGATGGAGTAAGAGAAGGGGAGACTGTGAAATATGTCTGCTTCCAATCACAAAAAGATCAAATTAACATATGAAAAGATATTTGAAAGAGCTGTGGGATAGAAAGGCTTTGGCTTACCTACTGGATAGATTTGAAAGCATAAAATAAATTCAGGGAAACATTGATTCACCCAACTGAATAAACAACTTACTGAATTTACTAATCTAATTAATCAAACTCTGCTTCTCCTTTCCAAAGTAGATTCACAGGCAGTAAAATAAATTAAATCAACATTTTTTCCTCCACTTACTAAAAATAAGCTTTCTTTCCCTGGGTAAATCGGTCATTTAAATTCCCAAGGCTACACTCCTGCAGTCCACTGGCAGGAAGCAATTGTATGGATATAAAATTATTTTTCTGCAGATTGCAGAGTTTGGGTTCTGAGTATCGTATCTTTGCTTCTCTACCACTTAAACTGAAGAATAAAATAAATATTAACTGAGGTTATTTTTAGAACTAGATGGCCTATGGGTGATGTTGATTTGCAGATATGGGCGCCTGTGACTTACAGATGGATCTTTTATGAAGCTTAAAACTATATTGATGGTAAGAAATAATGACTTTGGAGTAGTAAGAAGAGTTGATGTTTGAAAACAATTGTAATTGCGAAAATATAGATGTCAAAGTAATAAATATGTTTCAGTTCGGTGGTCTGCAGATCTGGTACTTATCATTGGGTTTTCCTAGAGTATGTTTTACCATTACTCGAGTAAGATTCAGTTTAGAGTGTTTGCATATGCATGTAATGTAGTAATTTTATACACACACCTACATTCACATAAATACAATATACAAAGAACAGTGAAGGGCAGAGTAAACAGGAAGAAAGCACATCAAAAGATTGCCAAATGGCAAATGAAGCTTTATGTAAGTTAAGCAAAATGTAATATAGGGATATCATAGATAACAAGTATGAGTCAAGAGTATAACACTAGGTTTTTTATTTTTTAAAGGCATGATGTCAGGATGCAGAAATAGGAAGGCTGAAGATTAGAACGGAGAAAGAGAACACTGCTTATTTTAAAGCTATGCCTCACTTGCTGCATGCACTTCTGTGATGCCCTCTCCTTGCAGGCCAAGGAATCTCATTACCCACATTTTCTTCCCTAATGGACCTATTCTCATGCTTTCCAGTTGTGTTTACTCTAAGATATATTTTTTAAAAGTATTTTTTAAAAATTTTATTTATTTGTGCCTACAAGAACTGGGGTACAGGCCAGAGGTGCTGGGAGGTGAGAGGATTCACCAGAGACAGAGTGGGGAGCAGAACAGGCAGATCTACTGAAATACACTGCTGAGGGGAGCAGCGGACTAGACAGGAGGGGTCTGCTGCGCCATGTGGGTGGCTTCCTGGCCGTCTGGGCATTGAACTCAGATGGCTTCATAGTGCTGTGCTTAAACCCCTTGTGCCATCAGGGAGGCCCCACTCTAGGATGCAAAACTCATTTACATGGTCATCTGCGCAGTTAAAATGTAAGGGAAGATCAGAACATGATCGACTTAAGTTCTGAATGTACTTTAATAGTTGGGCATCAATTTAATGGATTCAGCAGTTCTTGGAACAGCTCTTCCTGACAGTGTCTGAGTATTGCTGTCACTACTAATGCTTTCTTCTACTTCCACTTTCAAGTGTTGGCTCAACTTTCTCTTTTAACTTACAGAACGTTTTGCTATCTGGAAACTCATGCCCACCTCTTTGACTTCGGATCAAAATTGCTTTTCTCACAGTCTGAATGGGAAAGTTGTACTGGATTGTACTTCAGAGGTGGGCTGTGGAAAGTCATGTAAGTTATTACTATTTCTTTGCCCAATGTGATGGATTTCCATGTATAGCAGGGATGGCTTAGGCAGATCTTTGACGTTTGTTTCTAAATCCTGTGAGCCCCAGAATCGTTGCTGTGGGGATTGCAGTGTGGCCTGTGTCAATTAGAGAAGATATGGGGTAAAGAAGTAATTTCATTTAATCATATTTTCAACCTATCATCTTCATCCTATTCTCTGCTCAGATAAACTCAAGATTAAATGAAACGTTGCAAATTTGGTTATCATGTATTTGATTGCATAGATGGCCAAATTAGGCTGGTTTCTAAAAGTTCACTTTGTAACTTATCATTAATATTCAAATTGGAGAATTATTTGGCTAGATGCAGATGAAGAAGGTAAACGTTACCTTGTTTTAATGGTAATGGCCAAATCATCCTTAAAATCTTACTACTCTTCTGTGACATCTTACCTTACCTCCTTTCATAGTCTTCTGCCTTAGTTACTGCCTGAGTTAATTCAGGTGTAGATGTGCTCACACATGCTAGTTACCACTATTTATAATCAAAATATTTATTCCTGTATTTTAATTTTGCTTTACATTTGTATTTATTTTTATTTTACAATAGGATATTTATTTTCATATCCTCTGTGCTCTATGGTCTCTCGTATATAATATTTATGTGAAATATGGTGGAAAACATGCAAGCAGCCATCAAAATTTTACTTCTTGATTACTGTATTTCAGATCATGGTACTAGATTCTAGGGATAAGAGATGACTTCGATGAAGTCTGTGTACTTCTGAAGATGATGGTTTACCTCTTATAATAATGTATTATACTGTAATTTATTTATTTATGTTTTTAGGAGTGTGAGTTCATTTGAAGTCAGAATCCTGGGAGCCAAGATATTCATGCCAAGTTACCCTGAGATAGTTTAGAATTAGAAAGATAAATGATGATAGATCACCTGGCATGGATCAAATTACTTTAAACATTTTATTTACTTATTTAAAAATATTTATTAGCACTTAGCAGAATATCTGACTCATGGAAAATTCTTAACAAACCCAAATATTATTATAATCAGACCATATATTTTTAATAATTTCTGACATTTCATTAAAAACTGCTCTTTAGTGAGGAGGCTCAGAAAAGATTAGAGCATCGTGTTACAAGTTTGACCATTGCTGAGTTTGTTTTTTTACAGCATTATTGAGATATATTTGTCACGCAAATTTCCCCTGCTACCTAAAAGTAGAATGTTCCTATTTAGTATGATTTAGTGGGCTATTTTTGGGACCTGGGAACTCTCAAAATTTTTCCATATAAATTAATAATAATAGCATTCTCAGACCTAAAAAGTAATGTACCAAGTTATACCAAAAAGAATCACATTTTATTTTCAGAGAGTGGGGTGTTGGGGAAACTTGTGTAATATTGTATCAATTTAAGGTGAACAATATAAAGATTTGATATGTGCATGTATTGCAAACTGATGATCACAATACATTTAGTTAACACCCATCACCTTATACAATTACTGTTTCTTTTTTTGTGACAAACTTTTTTTAAAGATTTATTTATTTATGCATACAAGAACTGGGGTAAAGGCCAGAGGAACAGAGGGTGAGAGGATTCACCAGAGACAGGGTGGGGCACAGAACAGGCAGCCTGACAGAGATACACTGCTGAGGGGAGCAGCGGGCGAGTCAGGAAAGGTCTGCTGCGCCATGTGGGTAGCTCCCAGGTTGGGAATAGAACTCGTGCTGTCGAGGCTGCGAACAGCTTCAAAGTGCTATGTCTTAACCCCTTGTGCCACCAGGGAGGCCAGTGATGACAAACTATTTTTAAAATACTATATTCAGTTCTGAGCACATGTACACATTTAGGGATGTTGGCAGCTGCAGCTTTCTGACATTCCTGTTTATCCTTTTGGAGACCACGGTATAGCAATAATAGCCATGATCACCATTACAATTACTGCCTACTAACAATACCTGGTGTGGTATAGAGTTCCCATGCCTCTTTAGTCATTTGAGCCTTATAATAATTCTGTGAAATATAGTGGGAAGCATATTCTTTTGTATTTAATGGATTTGGGCACACTTTCCAGTAATATAAATAAATGCTCTAAAAACATGGATGTAGTGAGTCTAGCATTAAGGCTCAAACCCTTGATTTCTCAGTCCAGATCATTGTGTTCACAAGTAGACTGTTAGGGCTGAGCTACTGCTCGGCCAGTTGAGGAATCTAGGAATATTACAGCATGGAAAAGAAAAGATAAATGGGAAATAATAGCACTCATTTTACATGTTTTAAAGTCCTTCCCATAGCTGGAGGCTTAAATGGTATCACTCTGAAACATCCCAGGGGAAAATCTTTGAAGGTGTTGCTTAGATTTAGTTTTGTTTTTGTTTAATAAGAATTCCTTTTTCCGGGCCTCCCTAGTGGAGCAGCAGGTTGAGTGCAGTGCTGTGAAGCTGTCTGCAGCCTCTGCAATGCAGGTTCGATTCCTGGCCGGCCAGGGAGATACCCACATGGTGCGGCAGACCTCTCCTTCTTGCCTGTTGCTCCCCTCAGCAGTGTATTTCAGTTAGTCTGCCTGTTCTGCCCCCCGCTCTGCCTCTGGCGAATTCTCTCACCCTCCCGCGCCTCTGGCCTATACTCCAGAGCTTGCATAAATAAATAAATTAAAAAAAAAAAGAATTTCTTTTTCTAATCTGCAGGTCAGTGGTGGAACATGTCCTAACATGTTCTTGAGCACTGGGCTCGGTGCTCTGTTCACTCCATTCAAGACTCATTGGTCTTATTTTCTACCAAAGGACTTTTGCGCTGCGAAGACAGGAGAGCTCATTGCACTTCCTCCAGAGTTTTGTTTGGTTGAGGCTGAAGCATCTGTAAGGACTCAGCCTAAAGTTTGCTTGTCCAGAGAAAAATTCCCCAAGAGAAAGTGCTGGGTGACATCCTCACTAAATGAGCCAGGGTCCCTAATTGCAAGCACCAAAAATAAACTTTAAGCAAAATGAAGTTTACTGAAAGGGCATTGGGAAGTTTATGGGAGGGCTGAAGAACTAAGCACATAGTGATATTTTCAGGAACAATGTCCAAAACCAGATCAGAGACCTGGCTGGCTGAGCGAGGAAGCTCTTCGCCCTGCACTGCTCTGTGGAGCACTAGATGTTATGGTTTGCACTGTTGTCAGGGAATGTGCTTTATTGCAACTGCTGTCAGCAATAGTACTTCTCTGCCTTAGGAAGTCAGTCTTGCCACCAAGGTTGAACCCTAAGCAAGATACCTCTTGCCATCCTGACCAGTAAAAGCAAATTGAGTCTATATTAGCATCTAGCGTTCTCTCTCAAGTGAATCTCCTGTGACTCTCATTTTCCACAAACTGCTCAAGAGTCAATGTAGTTGGTGGTGCCAAAGTCCTCCTTGTGACAATGGAAGCTGGAGAATTGGGTTTTCTTTTTTAAGATTTATTTATTTATGCATACAAGAACTGGGGTACAGGCCAGAGGTGCGGATGGTGAGATGATTCACCAGAGGGAGTGGGGAGCAGAACAGGCGGATCCACTAAAATACACTGCTGAGGGGAGCAGTGGGCAAGACAGGAGAGGTCTGCTGTGCCATGTGGGTTACCTCCCTGAGCGGGGATCGAACTTGTGCTGCAGAGGCAGCAGATAGCTTTACAGTGCTTTGCTTAACTCCTTGCGCCACCAGAGGGGCCCAGAATTGGATTTCCAAGTTCTGTGTTGGGATAGTGGGACTCAGAATGCCAAAAAATGACCCAAATTTATCAAAGATGTTCAAGAAATACTGGCCAGCCTTAAACTGAGCAGGTACCTTCTGCATTGAACTGTAGAATTCTCATCTATCTAATAGAGCAGTCACACCTACCTTACAGGATTGTTATAAAAGATCATGTATGGTCTTTATGCAAAACTGTTTAATAAAACTATATAGGACCTCTCCGGTGGTGCAGCGGTTGAGCGCTGGGTTGCGAAGCTGCCCACAGCCTCTGCAGCTCCAGTTCGATCCCCAGCTGCTCCCCGGCTACTGGAGGAAGGTCCCACATGGCGCGCAGACCTCTCCTGCTGCCCGCTGCTCCCCTCAGCAGTGTACTTTGGTCCTTCTGCCTGCTCTGCTCCCCGCTCTGGCTCTGGTAAATTCTCTTACCCATCCACACTTCTGACTGTACCCAGTGCTTGTATAAAATAATAAATAACAAAATAAATAAATAAATAATTAAAAAAAATATTTAAAAAAAACCTAAAACTATATTGACAGCTGTATGTTAAAAAAAGACTATCCTTTTACTGTGATTTATGTCTTTGGCCAAAGCATAAAGTGAAGTACTTAATAAGTTCCTTTATCTCCCATTCACTTTAGAAAATTTTCAAATAAGCAGGATATCCTGCTTCTCCAAAGGCATTTTAAATGTTCAGGAGTTGTTGGGGGGAAACAAAAAAGAACTGAAAACCAAAACGAAGCAAAGTATTCCTTCTATCAAAGTATTGCTCTCTTAAATATCTATTATCTCCACATTTTTATGTTGTAAAGGACACCTCCAAAATGATGGCAAGCATAGAAATTGCAGTTTTAAGATTGTAAGTGGGTTTTCCACTACTTTTGACTTCTGAATTTTATGCTTTTGTTCTAATGTAGTTCTTACTTGGGTTTCTTCATGAATGCAGCCCTCTGGTTTCAAAGCGGACAATGGCTTATTCAACCCTCTGTGCCTCTACATTTGGTTTTTCTGCATGACCTTTCTGTGACTCTACTAGAGGGATAATTATCTTAGAAAAAATGTAGATGCCACTGCTGAGTTTTCAGCATAAGCAACAGCCATGTGTGAAGGAGGCTGTGGTGGTTGTGTACATGGTTGCAGAAGTTGCCAGACTGTTGTTAGTGCTCATGCAGTGGGAATCATTCACATAATCAGAGAAGGTGATTTTGAAACCATGCAAATCTGGGGGATGTCATGGATTGTGGGTCCTCACCTCTGTGTTTACAACTGCA